CCAGATCACGCAACCCGAGTTTGGCAGCTGGCGTGGTCTACAGCGGGAAGCCACCACTGGACCAAGTGTCGCGCTGGTGTCTGGTGAGGTAGGAGATGCTTTGCAAAAGTAGAGCCTACAGTTTACTTTAATTTGCACGTACGTATGCCAGTTCTTCATAACTTGGATTTGAAGATGGCTTACGGATCAGAAACGACCAGCAAAGTCTATTTTAACAGGTGCGTCTTTCCGTCAGTTCTGATCGGGAATACTGATTATGACGGAAGTGAATTCACCGACGATATCCATGTAAGCGTTCAGGAAGTCAAGTTTAGCGAACGTACGTTTTATTTTATTCATAATCAGACAATTAAAATAATATTGAGGAGGGAAGGGTTACAAAAATTTAACCATCCAATCAACAGTAGTACGAGGGGGAGGTGTTCAGAGATCAAGGGGTCTGATTTTAGTCCTATCAAGGGGCTCAGAGATGGGGAGAAGGGTAAAGGGCCCGATAATTTGTTAATGTCGCCCAGTTGTCACTGTCTCGCGTCGTGTTAGAAGGCATTAGGACGCATGCTGTCACTGTCTCGTCGCCGTCTAAAAGCTTGATAGGAGGCGTAACGGCGTATGGCGAGGTAGCCTTCGGCCAAGGGAGCCTAAGTGTCTGTAAAAAGGCCTTCTACACGCAAAAAATCGGGATGATTAGCCGTATGGCGACTGTCTCTGTCGTCGCAATAGTCGGCTGATGCAGGAACTTTGAGTGTTTCGTGGGCACTGCATAAATGATTCGGACAGTTTGGTTGACATCTACCTGGTGACCGCTGTCAAATAACAAAGCCAAATTCGCGCTGGATATGGGTTTAACTATACCTCGGTTTAGCCAGGAAGGATGGTGTTCTCGCCTGCGCTTAGATAGACGTCTAGCAGTTCGACTAATATAACCTGCTCTACGTTATTAAGTTAAGCCGTAGATACACATCGAAGAGGTCTGTACCAGGAGTCAACATTTGCCTCCAGCGCAGAGAAGTAGAGTGCTTGAAAATACTAGTCTTATCTTAGCAGCTGGATACGTGCGCATGATTGCGGCCTTTAAGTGAAGATGCAGAAATTTGCTTCTCGGGAAAGCCGTTTTCTCACAGAGTGCTTTGGATAGGGATGAGTTCGTTCTCCAGTGTACCTGGGGAACATATTCTCCGAACTCTAAATTAGGGAAGAATTAGTTGTTTGCCAGTTTTTTTATCATGAAGTCATGAGCTAGTAGAGGTCTAAGGGGTGAGTCTATCGCTATACTATCGATTTGGCGGTAAAATTGGTCGTCCAAACTGAATTTTACATTTACTATGCAGCTAAAGGGCACTTCCTTGAGGTCTCTGGTCGGTTGGAAAATCCTGTCTTACAATTTCGTCACATGGTTTCTGTGACGGGGAAAGTAAGTGAACAAGGACGTGATATCTAAGGACAACATTGTTTTCCCGTTGAGATTTGGATTTCTTATGAACTCAATGACTTCAAATGTGTCTCGTAGGCTACATGTTGTTATTTGGTGCCGAATCGGTTTTAGCCTTTCTGTAAAACACTTTACAATTTCATAAAAATGTGAACTGCATATATCTAGCATCGGTCACATTGGGAGGTCTAGTTTTGTGAATCTTTGGCAAACTATATAGCATTGGAGGGATTATGCCTGCGAGTTTAAACATCTCACACTCTTGTTCATTAAGGAAACCTTGCTTTCGGCCTATCGAAAAACCATATGAGGGCTGTTGTCTATGATACTAAGGAACTTTATGTCGGGTTCAGTTACCCATGCCTCAGTAGGCATTAGACGTCCGTTATGCTCCCCAATTGTATATGTGGAATAGGAGACAGGCAGGATAGCAGAGAACAAGTTTACTGAGACAGTCTCTGCGAGTACATCAGCTTCTCCTCGTGTGCCTCAACTCGTTCGCGTGTCC